GGGTCTGGCGCTGCCTCTCAGCTCACACGGGCCCCCGAAGCTTGCCTCCTCCCCGGCCTCATCACCTTGGCCCGTGCCTTCCCCATTCCCGCTCTGACACGGCGCCCCGCGCTTTCACCTCAGGACTGACCCCTCCGGCCTCCGCCTCCTCCATCACAGGGCACGCTGTTCTGCCTCTGCGTCCCACTGCCCTGCCATGGACACTCTGGGCCGTCACTGTCATTGCTGGGTCTGTCAGGGATCTCCCTGAGGGCTGGGTCGCCAGCACTGCCCACCTCAGGGCCGAGCAGAAAGCCTCCGTGGGCCACGTACCTACATACATGACGGTGCCCCGGCGAGGGGGCTGCCCAGGCGCCCGCACTTCACAGCGGCTGCCCACGGGGATGGCGCGGGCCTGGGTCTTCTCCTCGTTCAGGCGCTGGGTGGCCTCGGCCTCCTGCTGGGCTCGCTCCTCCTCGTTGTAACGGCCCAGCTTGCTGCGCTTCAGGAAGGAGCGGATTGAGTCTGAGGGTGGGGTGGGGGACAAGGCTTAGACGTGGTTTCCCTGGTGTGGCCTCTGGCCTAAGGGGATCACCTTCCACCCACACAGGGCCAACATTCAGAGAGAAACTCTTCTGGGCGTTGGAGGGCTGCCACCCAAGCCCCGAGTCTCCCACCACAGCCCTGGCTTCTCCCCAGGACTCCTGGGGCCTCTCCACAATCCAGAAACTAAAGGGACGGTGCCTGCCTCCAGTCCTCCCACTGCCCCATCCTCCGACATCCCTTCAGTGTCGTATTCCCTCCATCCAGCCTCTCATCCTGCCCACTACACATTCTGGTCTGTTTGGCTCATGCCCCCATGGGACCCTAACTACCCCCCCGCCCCAGACTTCCCTCTCACGCCCCCGTCTGCTGGCCCGCGCTCCCTCACCCCTCCCCCACTCACAGCCCACACCCTGTCCCCCCCCAGCCCTGTCTGTCCACACACCCACCTCATCCCACGGCCTCCACTTGCCATGTCTGTCTGTCCCCACGGCCCACACCACCGACCCCCCCACAGGGTCCCTGTCTGCCCCCGACCTCTGTCCGCCCGCACAGATGCCTTCTGGCCCCCACACGCCCCGACCCGTCCCTCTGTGCCTGTACCTTGCCTCTGGTCATAGGCTTCCTGTGAGATCTGGTATTTCTCCACCTTGGACACATCTTCATACTCCCCAAGGCGGGCACCACTGTGGTCAATGACCTGTAGTGAGGGGAGGGAGGTCAGTGGGGAGCAGGGTGCAGAAATGTCTTCAGCCCTTTTCAGGAACAGCAGGGACACCGTGGCAGCTGGGGTGGCGAGCCAGGGGAAGCTGGGAGACACAACAGATCACTGCAGACTTTGGCTTTTACCCAGACTGGGCTGCAGCCAGGGAGGCTCTGAGCCAGGAGCACCCTGACCTGACTCAGGGCCTCACAGGCTCCTTCTGGCTGCAGGTGGGGAGCAGACTGCAGCCTGCCCCCCCCACCCAACCCCGGGAAGGGCTGCTGTGGAGTCCAGGAGTGAGATGGAGGCTGGGACAGGGCAGACGCAGTGGGGCAGGAGAGTGTAGACTCCAGAGAGATTCCGGAGGTGGAGTCCACAGGGTTTGCACACAGAATGGATATAAGTGTGAGGAAAAGAGAGGGGTCAGCAACGACTCTCAGGTGTTTGGCCTGAGCCACTGGGCTAACACAGCAAAACAGAAACGGCCCTTTTCTCTGGCCAGGATCGCTAGGAATTTCTACTTTCTGTATTCAGGATCTTGTAAATTTGAGGTGGCTATTATTTTAGGCAACAAATATAGGTTAATATATTTTATATATATACTTAAAAATTGTTTTTAAGTAATCTCTGTGCCTAACATGGGGCTTGAACTCACAACCCTGAGAGCAAGAGTCACATGTTCTACCGACTGAGCCAGTCAGGCACTTCAAATACAGGGAATATTTATAAACAGGAAAAGAATTTAAAACAAACAAAAAAAATTCCCCAGAGGCTGCACCTCTAGGAAACCTTCCTCAACGGACCTCAGAAGTGAGAGGCCTGTCTACACCTGAATCCATGTGTGAAAACCTCCTGTTTGAGGATGCCACGACCCGTGCCTGGCCCACCAGCATCCAGGGCTGAGGCTGCCCACTTGTCAGCCCAAAGTCTCAGTCCTGGGGGCCCAGCACTATCCTGACCCGCGCCCACTACGATCCAGGCCCCACTGCACCACCTGGACTATGGAAGAAGCCGCCTCCCCGGTCTCCCTACTCCTCTGGTCTTCTGCAGTCTGCTCCCCACACACAGTCAAAGGGAGCCTGTGAACACCTGAGCCAGACCAGGACTGTCCTGGCTCAGAGCCCTCCCCTGGCTCCCACTTCTGTCTGCCAGAGGAGACGCCACTCCTCAGTCCCTGACTTAACTGTGCTCCTTTCCACCTCAGTGTCTGCACACATGCTGTGCCCTTTTCCTGGAGTATTCTTTTCCCTTTTTTTTTTTTTTAAAGATTTTATTTATTTGTTTGAGAGAGAGAATGAGATAGAGAGAGAGAGAGCATGAGAGGGGGGAGGGTCCAAGGGAGAAGCAGACTCACTGCTGAGCAGGGAGCCTGATGCGGAACTCGATCCCGGGACTCCAGGATCATGACCTGAGCTGAAGGCAGTCGCTTAACCAACTGAGCCACCCAAGCGCCCTGGAGTATTCTTTTCCTTTCCTCAGTTAACTCTTCCTGTTTTTCAGGTCTCTGCTCAGGCATCACCTCTTCCAGGAAGTCCTCCCAGACCTCACTGATAGGTCAGGTTCCCCCAGTATCAGCGCTCCCAGCTCTGTGAGCTCTTCCTATATGGCTCTCGTGTCTCTGACATTTCATATTTGTTCCTGTGAATGTTTAGTGAACATCTACCTCACACACTGGACAGAGCTAAAACAGAGACCTGGTCAGACCTGGCTCACAGCTACACCCCTGGCATAACACGGATGCTCAATGAACACTTAAGAGGTAACAAAGAACCAGTTCTCTGAGCACAGTGACTTCCAGAGTCATGCAGATTGAGCTGAAAATTCTAACTATAGTTCATCCTTAGGAAAGTAAATTCCATCCTGAAGCTAAGTTTTATCTTGTGCAAAATGGGGTTAATCACACCATCTTCCAAGTCTTATTTTATGGATTCAGGTCAGTATCCAGCAATGATTCACTGAGCATCTTCTCTGTAGTAGGCATTATTCCAGGTGCTGGGGGAAATGCACAGTATGTCACAGGGTGCTAGGAGCTAAGGACAAAAACCAAGTAAAGTGGAAAAGAGAGGAGATTTAAATTTTATACTAAGGTCAGTGAAGGCTTCACACCCTCCAAGTGTGTGAGGAAGGCTGGAGTGAGCCGTGTGAAGCCATATGAAAAAGAACCATGCAGGCTCAGGGTATATAGCACTTGCAAAAGCCGTGAGGTGGAGGTCACCTGGGATGCTGGGATACCTGAAGAGTAAGGGGAGGACACAGGATGACGTGAGTTGATGCATGCAGAGGTCCTCTGTGTTCCAACTTCTCCCAACGCATCCAAGTCTCATCACTCACCCTGACCCACCTCAAACTATGCCTCTGTACCCTGTTCCCTCCTCCTGGCACGCTCCTCCCACCCCTGATCCTAAGTTGCCCTCTCCTCATCCTTCGGGTCTCAGCTCAGGCATCCCACCCCTCAGGAAGCCTCTTCTGATATTTCCAGGAGGAGTCAAGTACCCCTCTGGGGGCCCCCAATTCCCTGGGCTTTTCCCAGCCCAGTTCAGACTACTCTGGCTGTCACTGTCCAGTGATGGTTCTGTCTCTCTCCCTGCTGGACTGGGGGCTCCACGAGAGGAGGGCCTATCTCGGTTATCACACAGAACAATGTACAGCAAGTATTCAATAAATAAATGAATGGAGGGGAGGCCTCACGTGGACGCGGCAGCCGTCGTCTATGGGGTACGAGCCCAGCAGTGCATCCTCCTGATCCAGCTTGCTGTACAACTTGTCGTCAGGTCCATACAGCTCCAGTTCCATGCAAGAAGCAGGACTGCCCACCACCAGCTCTAGTTTACACTGCGCGGGGAGCAGCCGATGGAAGGCTGTTAGCGGCCCCACCCTCTGCCCTGAGGCTCCACCCCCCCCTTTTTTTTAAGGTGTGTACTTGCAAATTTATATATTTTTATATTTTTTAAAGTAAACCCTACGCCCAACGCGGCGCTCGAACTCACGAACGGAGATCAAGAACCGCAAGCTCTACCAGGGGAGCCAGCCAGGCGCCCCTAAGCTCCGCCCCTTGTAACAATCATCCCATCCTTGCTCCTCCAAGAAACCCACCATTTAGGACCCACCTGGTTATCCCTGGCCACGCCCAATGCAACCTCTGATTTCCCCTGGCTTCGCCCCCAATTTCTGGAACCTCAAGTTCCCTCTGGCCCCGCCCCTCCGGGGCCCAGTCCCCAATCTGTTCAACCTCGGTTGATCCCTGGCCCCACCCCGCGTTCGGGAAGACCCTCCATTTCTCCTTTGCCCCGCCCCCTCAACCCCCACGCCCCGCCCCCCGAACCCCGCCCCCACGGCCACACCTTGAACTCAGCGATGGTGAGGCTGCGACTGTACCGCTTTTCAGAGCGGAAGCTGTTGAGAGAGCTGCTGATGAAAACGGTCACTGTGGGCGCCGACAAGCCCGTCACCTCCATCTCGCCGCGCCCTGCCGGGGTCCGCAGCCCGGTCAGTCGCCTCACGCCAGCTCCGCAGCCGCCGCCGCCGCCGCGTCTGGGATATCAGCCCCTCCCCTGCTCCCGACCTGGCCAATCCATGCTCTCCCACAAGCAGGGTCCGCCAATCGCCGCCGTCTCTTTTCCACGCCAGGAAGCGGGCTCTCCCGTACTCTTGGGTAGGCTCAGCCAATCCTGAGAGGCCTTCCATGGTGCATAGTTCTTCCAATAGCCGCCCGGGAAACTGCCCGGGCGAGCGAAGGCTGAAGCCCACAGGAAGGACTGGCAAGAGTTACCTCGTCCGCGCATGTGCACTAGCCTTCAGCCAGCAAAAAGCAATGGCTTCATTTATGCTCCCGGCCTTGCATATTACGTAAAGCATCATATTCCTTATTCCTGGCTCTCGTACCATGCTATTCTACAAACGGGGGAAGCGAGGCTCAGAAGTTGGAAACAATTACCGCAGGATATAAAAAAAACTGAAGCAAGTCATTAGTCGAACCTCGGCGCAGAAGGCCGAGAACAAAGCCTCAGGGAGACAGTACGTGTGCGTAGCTCCGCCCCTCCTTTGGCGAAGCAACTAGGCTTGACCCTTCCCGCGACCGGTCGCGCGGCGGAGCAAGTGCGGAAGGCTTGCTTGGCGGGCAGTGTGTAGCTATGGAACCAGACGGGACCTACGAGCCGGGTTTCGTGGGTATTCGATTCTGCCAGGAATGGTGAGGCCGGGCCTGCGAGTGTGTAAGGGAAGCAAGTAATGGCCCCAGGACTGACCTCTGACTTCTCCCTCCCACAGTAACAACATGCTTTACCCCAAGGAGGACAAGGAGAACCGCATTCTGCTCTACGCGGTGAGCACGAGCCTGCGGAGTGCCCGGGTCTTCCCAGAACGGTCCACCTGTTCCCAGTGTGGCCCCAAGCTACTCCACGTGACCCTTACTCCTTTTTACGCCTCCTACGCCTTTTGGTCTCGCCTCCTATCCCCCGAGTGAACCCTACTCTCGTCTTGCCCATCCCCGAAGTGATTCTCAATATACCCCGTTATCCCAACTTCGAGACTCCACGCTCTAGTCATTCCCTCCAGGGAAGACCCAGCCTTCCCTTCCAGTCGCTTCCCCGATCTCTCCATGACCCCCTTCCCGCCACACTCGCCCTCTCGTAGTGCCGGAATTGTGATTACCAGCAGGAAGCCGACAACAGCTGCATCTATGTCAACAAGATCACGCACGAAGTGGAGTGAGTGGCAGCACTAGAGCCGGGGGACGGGGTAGTTGGCTTGGGGGGCCTGGTCTGGGCATAATTATTCACCTTCTATTCCCTCAGCGAACTGACCCAGATTATCGCTGACGTGTCCCAGGACCCCACGTTGCCGCGGACCGAGGACCACCCGTGCCAAAAGTGAGAGCGCGCTGTTGGTATTGGGGATGGAGAGTGGCTCGTCCTCACTGGGTGAAGGGAGGAGGGAAGGGTATAGTTGGCTGAGTGGCTGACTGTCCTCCCAGGTGTGGCCACAAGGAGGCGGTGTTCTTCCAGTCACATAGTGCCCGGGCCGAGGTGAGCGGCAGGAGGAAGGCTTTCTGCGCGTCCCAGGGTTGGTCCTCCCTGGGGGCAGGGATACCAATATTGGGGGGGGACCCTTACCAGTGGGGAAGGCCCCTTTGCCTATTATCTTGGGGTGCGGCTCTGCTGGATGGAGGTTGTGTGTTGTACACTTCCATGGGGTGCCGACCCTAACCATGCACCCTTTCTGCCAGGACGCCATGCGCTTGTACTATGTGTGCACGGCCCCACACTGTGGCCACCGCTGGACCGAGTGAACTGTCCTCTCCTGTGTGTAATAAATTCTGTGTTTTGTGCGTGCATTTCCTGCGTTTATTTGCCTCTCGTGGGTTGTGTGGGATGCACATTCTCAAGCAGCGCGATGTAGGGCGCGGTGCTGCACGTAGGCGTCCGGCCTCGAGCAGGTGAAGCCACAGTCCTCACACACATGCAGCTTCTCACGGCGCTCACGATAAGCGTAGATGGCCGGCTGCCCATGCACCTTGGCAAGATGAGCTTCAAGTGAGCAGCGCTGTGTAAATGCTTTCCCGCAAGCTCCACAGCGGAATGGCCGGATCCCTGGGCGAAAGGGCAGAGGGGGAGAGGACAGACAGGGCAATGGCCTCCAAACCAAAGCCTCTCCACCTTGCCCTCCATGAGCATTCCCGCATTCCTACTCCGAGTTGTGCAGACTCCACCTGTGTCCCACCATGTGCTACCTCCACCCGAGCAAACATGGGCCAGACACCTGTGTTCCCCACCTGCTCCTCAGGATATTCCTTCCCCAGGAGGAAAAGGAGGGAGGCTTTTCCTTGCGCCCTTCCATCTAGGACCTGAATCCTGCAGCCACTACTGTCTTCACGCTGCAACCCTCAGCAGGCCTCCACCCTGGCACCGCCTTAACACCCACTGGCTGGGATCTTAAGTAGGAGGTTTTCCAAGCCACCTGATGGCTGAGTCTTCACCCCAGGAACACAAACACTGGAACATCCTGGGCACCTCTCTCCCATTTCATTCCAGACTTTCCTGGGGCCCAGCCACCCTTCCCTGCCCCTGCCCCTCCTCACCGGTGTGAGTCCTCATGTGGCGCTTGAGGTCAAAGGCATCGTGAAAGCCCTTGCCACAACAGTGGCACACGTGGCGGCGCGCAGGGCTGTGGCACTTGAGGTGTCGTGTCAGCATGCGCTGCAGAGGGAAGGCCTTGGGGCAGAGTGGGCAGCCAAGTGTCCCCGGGCCCCTGGGAGTGGAGGCCAGCCTGCCCTGCATGGGCTGTGGGAGGGACATGGGAGTTAGACCCCCTGGCCGGAGCAAATGGAATACCTAGAATCAGGAACCAAGGAGGGCTGGGAAGGCTGCTATTCATGTGTGCAAAGGCCTTCCCTGACCCTTCCACATTGCCTTTACCTTGCTTTATATTTCTCCATAGCACATCTTCCAATGTAACATAGATTTTTCTAATTTTATTGTCTATCCCTGTAGCCCCCACCAGATTCATAAGCTCCAGGAAGGATAGAATTTTTGTCTTATTCCTGGTAAATATCCATTGCCTAGAACACTTCCTGGCTTTCAACAAATACTGAAATAATCCCAGTCACATTCCTATTCCGGCTAGTGCCTTCCTTCTTCCAGGGCATGCACAGCTGAATATCCCTTCTGAGAACCCCCAGTCTTCCCATCCTGCTCCTGTCACCTTTTCTGATCTGACATAAAGCAAATCGCCAGGGGCGCCTGGGTGGCTCAGTCGTTAAGCGTCTGCCTTCCGCTCAGGTCATGGTCCAGCCCCACATTGGGCTCCCTGTTCGGTGTGAAACCTGCTTTTCCCTCTCCCACTCCCCCTGCTTGTGTTCCCTCTCTCGCTGTGCCTCTCTCTGTCAAATAAATAAATAAATAAAACCTTAAAAAAGGAAATCGCCATCCACTTGGCTTGAATCTTGTTCTGCCCCACTGGACAGAGGGATCTCGGGACAGGAAATGTGACTGCCCACCCTAGGGAAATGGTGCCTGGGATGAAGCCTCACAGTGAGCTCTACTAAGAAAGGAAAGGCGGGCGCCTCGGTGGCTCAGTCGTTAAGCGTCTGCCTTCGGCTCAGGTCATGATCCCAGGGTCCTGGGATCGAGTCCCGCATTGGGCTCCCTGCTCGGCAGGAAGCCTGCTTCTCCCTCTCCCACTCCTGCTGCTTGTGTTCCTGCTCTCGCTCTCTCTCTCTCTCTGTCAAATAAATACAATCTTTTAAAAAAAAGAAAAAGAAAAAGAAAGGAAAGGCATTCCCAGCAGAGAGAACAATAGGTGGAAAGGTCCTGAGGCTGGAGGGGCATGTGCAATGGGCTCGGGAAGTAAGGGGCAGTCAGGTTATGTTGAGGCTGAGAGCTGGCAGGGATGAAACTGAGCAGGGTCTTGTGGTCCAGCTGCAGACTCACCGCTACCCAACGGTCTCCGAAGCCAGAAGACTGGTGTGCTGGAGGGCCCTGCTGGTTGCTGCAGTCTGAGGAGAGAAGCCAGACGGTGATGCTTTGTGTCTCACCTACCCCTCACCTCCAGGCCCAATGAGGGGCCCACCTGGGACATAGGCATCTCCCCGGAGCTGATCAGGCAGGTGGCCCCAGTTGGGTGGCTGTGGACGCCGACTCCTGACCAGGAAGGCACGGGGCATCACCTCCAGGAATGGTGAGATGGCCCCACACAGACGACTGCTTCTTCCACCTGCAGTCACACCTCAGCCCCAGGATGACTAGAGGGGGAAGGGAGGGAGAGAGGGGGGAGCCCTGGAAGAGCCTCATTCTCTCCATGCAAATTTTGTGACCAGCCCAGGGAGCCAACTTAGCTGGCTCGTTACCTCTGCCTCCGGACCCACCGTTCCTCCCCCTTCTCCTACACCGGGTTCCTGAGGGCACTCTCCAGCCACCAGGGGCGGCCAAGCGCTAGGACCCCCAAGAACGTCAAGCAAGGGCAAAATTAAAGCCTAGACAGCTCCTGGGAGTGGGAAAAAAGAAAGAGAGACTGCAGGGAAGCTGTCTTCTCAAAGTAGCAGGGCTAAAGACCTGAGGGTCTGTTTGCCAGGCAAATCCGTTACCAACCGGACATCCAACAGCCTGTTTGGTTATTCAAATCACAGCAGCTGTCTGAGGAAGTGGGGGTGAGGAGTGGCTGTGATTGCTTGCTCCAGAGGGCGGAGAGACAGCACGGTGCAGTAGGGAAGGACAAAGGGAGGATATAGGCTCTGCATCTTCCAACAGAAAGCTCTACCTCTCTGATTTTCAGATGCCCAGAGCTTTCGGCCAGAAACACTGTTCAGATGTAGCAGGTATTAGAATATTGGTGTGTTAATAGTCCAGCTCCTAGTGATTGCCTGGGACACCACTTCCCCACTCTCCCACAGTCCAGGAGCCAAAGGGGGTGACCTGACACAGCCAGGGGCTCCCAGAACCCCACCCCTACATTCAAGCGAGTCTGTGTTCTAGACTGATCATTGTCTGACTGCTTAACCCCTGGTTAAGGATTTTGAATATTCTCTGTGCAGTTAACTTCCTCTCATTTACCCCGTCAGTGACTTCCTGAGCTCCAACTATGGGCCAGGCCTAGCTCAGCACTAAAAATGAACACGTAACTTAGCCCGTGGGGGAGACACGCCAGTGACAGTGCAGAATGACCAAAGCTATGATGGGGGTGCACAGGCAAAGTGATCCCAACTGCAGTAGAGAAAACCCAGGGGGCTCAAGGGAGCCTGGAAGAGGCTCCTGATCCAGCCTAAAGGTTCAGAGATGACTGCTGGGTGTAGCCCTGAAGGAAGATGAGGTTTCAGGTGAAACCTCATCTGCCCGTGTTCCAGGCAGAGGGAACAGTCTACGCAAAGGCTTGGTGGTGAGAGAAGCGTTATTTCTTCATTTTTTCACACGCCCTGAGAGTCCTGCTGGTTCGTTTGGGGCAGCGAGGCGGGACTGAGAGTCTGTTAGCCCAGAGCTTTGCCACTTTATCTCTGCAGAACCCAGGCAAGTCACTTCTTGCTTAGCCTCAGTTTCTTCATCTGGAAAATGGGACTAATGTGTCTCCCTATCACTGGTTTGTGTCAAAGATCCATGTAGATCATGTGGGAAGAGTGCTTAGCATGAAGCATTTATGTTTTATTTTTTTAAAAGATTTTATTTATTCGAGAGAGAGAGAATGAGAGAGAGCACGAGAGGGAAGAGGGTCAGGGGGAGAAGCAGACTCCCTACTGAGCAGGGAGCCCGATGCGGGACTCGATCCCGGGACTCCAGGATCATGACCTGAGCCGAAAGCAGTCATTTAACCAACTGAGCCACCCAGGCGCCCAGCAGGCAGCATTTAAACAGGGTGGTTGTTAGGAAGTCTTGAGGGGTGGCTAGGCAAGTATGTGAGTTTCAGTCAGTCCATCTGTAAGTGTTAAGTGTCAGGACACCTGGGTGGCTTAGTCAGTTAAGCGTCTGTCTTTGGCTCAGGTCATGATCCCAGGGTTCTGGGATCAAGCCCCACATCGGGCTCCTTGCTCAGCAGGGAGCCTGCTTCTTCCTCTGCCTGCCGCTCCCCTAGCTTGTGCACTCTCTCTCTCTCCAGCAAATAAAATCTTTAAAAAATAAAGTTCTTTAAAATGTGTTTTAAGTGTCTCCATCTCACAATTGTTGGATTTCATGCACCTGAGACTGGTGTGTGCAGCGTAAGTCTGGCAGCCCAGCATCTAGGATTGGTCCAGCCTGGGAGTACAGGGCGGAAGTTGCACTGAAGAATGAGCTGGCAAATGGTTACGGGGAGCCATCTTGTCTCTTCCCCCGTGCCCAGTTCTCCCTGCCCAGCACCATGTCTCTTGGGGCAAGTGGTTCCTGTGTTACTGAAAACACATTAGGGAAGAAATTCAGGGCTGGGTGTCTTTATTTGTCCCCATACCCTTTCTGTCCCACTCCTCCCGTGCCCCCTCGCTCCCAATAGGATTTCGACAATAGGGAGCTCCACATAAGATGGGAGAGAGGATTTCTCCAACTCTCTCCCTATGGAGTTGCCAGGCACACAGCTCCCCTCACGGCAGCCCTCTCTCCAGGATTGGCTCTTCTGGGTCCCACTTTGCTCCCTTGTATCTATAGCTCAAGGCTAGGGTGAGAGTAACAGCTCTTCTCTGGGACCAGTCCAGGATACCATACCAGCCCTAGGATTTCCCTATCCCCTGCCCACTTCTTTGTAAATGATCCCTTCACTGACCTCTCCTTGAAACACCCCGTGTGAGCATTCTGTCCTCCTCCCGCTGGGGCCCTGTGGGTCCACAAACCGCACGCGCACACATTCATCAGCACTGGTTTCTTAACCAGCCAGTTTGTCGGAGGAGAGAGTCTGGTCTTTCCAGGGCAGAAGAGCTTAGCATTAGGAAGTGGAGAGTGGCAGACACACTGGGTCCTCTCTACCAGCGCACCCTCCTCTTGTGCTGAGAGAACCCAATTTTCTTTGAACAGCGATATGGCCAGGACAGGAGATAGTTGGTCCAAGTGAATCAAAGCCATCTCCATTCTTGCCTACAACTGCTCTGAAAGGGGAAGTGTCTAGGAAGGCTTAGCACCTTTCTTACTACCCTGCCAGCTGCCCTCCTTCGGGCCTTTGCTCCTGGTTAGCTGAGGGCGTACTGCCCAAGTGCCGGTATGGCAACCATGTTGCAGCTCGGAGGGCCTAAGCTGGAGGGTGGAACTCAGCCTCAGAGGGTATCGGGCCAGGAACATAATCAAGAGTAACAAATGTCCCTGCAGCGTGGGCCCCCACAAGCCAGCCGCTTGCTACTTGGGCGTCGAAGGCTTTTTTTAAGTTTATTTGAGAGGGGCGCCTGGGTGGCTCAGTCGGTTAAGCAACTGCCTTTGGCTCAGGTCATGATCCTGGAGCCCCGGAATCGAGTCCCGCATCGGGCTCCCTGCTCAGCGGGGAGTCCGCTTCTCCCTCTGGCCCTCTTTCCTCTCGTGCTTTCTATCTCTCATTCTCTCTCTCAAATAAATAAAATCTTTAAAAAAAAAAAAGTTTGAGAGAGAGAGCGCACAAGCAGGGTTAAGGGCAGAGGAAGAAGCAGACTCCCCGCTGAGCCCAACGTGGGACTCAATCCCAGGACCCCGAGATCATGACCTGAACCGAAGGCAGACGCTTAACCGACTGAGCCACCCAGGCACCCTGAAAGCTTAATTATGATACAGCGTGGGAGAAGGGGTACGTTCCACTAGGGAAAGGCTCAAGATGGTCCTCTGGGTATTTAGGGGCCTGGATGCCAAGCCTTGCTTCAGGGATCTTCGGTGGCCAAGCAAGGCAGGAGCAAGGAGAGAGGGTCCCCAGGGGTCTGTAACCTGTGGGGCAGGGCAGGGCCAGGGCCTCTGAGAAATAAACAATACTGGGCATCTCCTCAGCTACCAAGATCAGGCATCTTATTTACGGGGGAAAATTGTGTTGTGAATATTTCTTGGATTTATATGTCATGAAGCAACAAGGCCCTGCCCCCTTGAGCCCCGTTCTTCCTCCCATCTCCTCTCTTACCTTTTCTCCTAGCTCACTCCATTCCCTCCATATGTGATTCCCCCCGTGGGATGTTCGCACTGGCTGTTCTGTCTGCCTGGGCATCTTCCCAAGATGTCCACATGACCTGTGCCTTCTCTCCAGCCTCAGCTCAAATGTCACCCCGGAAAGGCCTTCCCTGGCTCATCAACCAGCACAATGAACTCCCTCAGCTTACCTACAGTTCCACAGATATTGCTTACGTCCTGTTTTGCTCTCTAGAAGGCTAATGCCACGAGGGCAGATGCTTTGCTGGTCTTGTTCCTCCCACTACCCCCAGCGTGTACAACAGACAGTACCCTGCAGGATTAGTTGTGATGTGTGTTAGTGTTTCCGGAGACAGCAGAGGGCCATGGCCTTATGCTGACCGGTCTGGCTCTGCCACGAGGCAAGCCTAGGTCTGAGTCCCAGCTGTGTGGAATCCGGAGCAAGACTGGATCTCTCTGGGCTTGTTTCTGGTGGGCCGTGACCATCCGACGGAGCAGAGAGGGACTCGGGCAAGTGGTGGTTGAGGCCACAGCAAGCCGCATAGTGGGGCCGTGGTTCAGGGGAAGGCCCTCCCTCGCCAGCTTCCTTGTTAGAGAGAATTGGGACAGTCGTGGCTTTTGTGGTCACAAGAGTGGCTTTCTTGGCAGACATGCCACATGGCTAGATGCCGGCTGCCTGGGGAAGCTGCTACCACAAGCTGGGAGCTCATGGGATGAATCTGGATAGAATCTTCCTGCTGGGGAGAGAATTACTTGTCCCAGGTGCTGGACGGCCTGGGCATGCTGCCCGATTGCCTAGTCACTGAGCTTGCTGGTCTCTCCTCAATTTCCCCTGCTGTAGGTGGGGACAAAAGCCTTGACCTCACAGGATCCAACCTGGGCTTGGCCTGGGGGCCCCGAACCAATGGGGTGGCAGTGTGTGTCCTGGGAGCCAGGGTCTGGCACATGGTGATGGCAGTGGCTCCAGTGGGTTCTTGGGCACCAGTAAGGGCGCAGGGAGGAAGGGCTGGCCCCTCCTTGGGGAACAGCTGGGCCCCACTGGGCCAGGACCCCAACTGACCCCATAGCAGCTCAGGGGTGATGGACGACATGGCATACCAGGTGTTGGGATCATCATTATTGCAGTTCCCTAATTTCC